TGCCAGGTGACCAGGGACCCCCCGCATGAAGCCGGGGGGAGGGGGTCCCATGGGGCATTGCCACTGTCAGATGAGTGAGGGCGCAGCAGGTGGCCCTCAGGAGGGACCTTACCTTGAAGAGGGGGTGGCATGTGGGCAGGTGGCGCAGGGTGGCAACGGCGAAGACCTCCCCGAACAGGTGGGTCCTCAGCAGGTGGGTGAGGAGCTGGTGGCTGTAGAAGTCAGCATTGCGCACCCAGGTCTTGGCCAACAGCCAGTCCCACTCATCATCACTCGGCAGGAAGATGGGGCTGGAGCGTCCTGGTGTTTGGCTGAGCTGTGGGACACCATCCCATGGTCTGGGACCATCCTCACCCTCCCCACGGCACAGTTTGATGTGGGGCATCCCTACCTGGATGGCAATGGGGCGCAGGAGCCCATCAGTGCCCTGGTGAAGGAGGCAGAGTGGGGCTGCCACGTATTGCTGGCGCCCATTGATGGTGTCAGCTGGGATGTCATCTAACACCTCATAGTCCACGATGAAGATCCGACCTTCTTGCAGCTCCTTGCCCAGGTCAGTGCCACTCCCCAGTGAGCCAGCCACCATTTCTGGCGTCACCGGGAATTTGGATGGCAACACAGTGCAACATCGAATGATGATGGGGTTGTTGCCATTGAGGAACTGGTAACCGAAGAACTCATCTTCTTGCCAGTGCTTGGCCACGTACTCAGGGACTAGCGGGGTGGTCAGATATCAGCACCCACTTACCCACCCTCCAGGGAAAGGGAAGCCCTGAGTGGTGGGGAGGGGAACACACAAGGCACCCACCAATGTCTCTTCCCTGTGTCCGGGAGAAGATGGTGCGCATCTCATCCAGACTGTCCCAGGAGGTGTTTCTCAGCAGGAACCCTGACAGAAAGTGGGAGGCCCCTCTACAGGGCAGAGGGGAACCTCAGCACAGCCCCCTCTCTTCTCTGGCCCCTCTTCCCACAACCATCCAGATCCCACCCAGCCTCAGGGCAGTGCTTACTGTAAGATGAGGAAACCAGTGAAGTTAGTGACTCTGACAGAGGAGAACTGGATATTGGAGTCCAACTCGAGGATGGAGCCCACGCTGAGGCAATGGGGCCAGCCCTGGGCGTAGTTCTTCCACCTGGTGTGGTACATGGGGACAGACATCAGCATCACCGCTGACCGCCCACCTGGCCGAGGTGGGCCTTGTCCCCACGTCCCCACTGTCACCGGAAAGCCTCCTGCCGTGCCGCCAGTTCCCGATGCCGATGTTCCTTGAGGATCTGCAGCTCATCATCCGCCAGCTTCTTCCCTGGAAAGGAGGAGGTGGGGTCAAGGTTGGACCTCCAGCCGTCAGAGGAGGATTGGGGTTTGGGCATGTCTTACCTGAGCCCTCCCGCACCTCCACCGTGGTGACCCCCTCCAGCCACTGGTAGTAGGGGAAGCGGTAAAGGGTGCCGTCAGGGGCTGTCACCCGGACATCCTTGCAGAACCAGGCATCCTCCAAGAAGAGCCGCCACTTGTGCAGGCGGATGAGGACAATAGGGCCCAGGTCCTGCCCACAGTCCACAGACAGGCTCTTCTCCTGAAGAGGAGGGAATGGCTTCTGAAGAGTGCGCAGATGCCCCAGGGTGGCACCACGGGACACCAGCAGAGAAGAGGCTCAGAGCATCCCCTTGCTTCCAACCCTCCAGGATCCTTATCTTCCACCATCCCCCCCCAAATCCTTTTCCTCTACACCCCTGGAACCCCTTTCCATTCCCCCCCCAAAGATCCCTTCCCACCATTTCCCAAGACTTCTTCCCACCCATCCCCACAAGACCCCTTTCCCAGCATCCCCCCCCAAATCCCTTCCCACCATCTCCTTGTACTCCCAGAAGAGTCTGTGCAGCCCCTCATGTCCCTGGGACAGCCTGTGCCACCTCTCATGTCCCCAGGACAGCTCTGCCACATGTTGTGTCCTCATCCCCACCTGTCCCGGCAGGAACAAGAGGGAGACAGTGGTCCTGCGGCTCTCGCCTCGGCTGCCCACCAAGGTGATGGAGATGGAGTTGTTGGTGCCAGCTTCTGCCACATCACCTGTGGCCACTGTCACCTTGTACCTGGCCATAGCGAGCTGAGGTGGTGTCCAGGAGATGCCTTCAGAGAGGAGTGAGGGGCTCTGGGGTGCAAACTGCTGTTTTGGGTGTTTTGGGTGTCCCAACCCCTGTGGCTGTTGCGCAAGTGGGTGACAGATCCTTCCTCCTCAGGGAGGTGTTATCAGATCACTGCTAACAGCCAGCATCCGGTACATCTGATCTCAACAGTACATCTGATCTCAACAGTTGTGGCCATGGGGACATTACCCAAGTGATGGCCCTGGGGGTGGCTGTGGGGATGTTACTCAAGTGACAGTCCTGAGGGTGGCCTTCGGGACATTACCCAAGTGACAGTCCTGGGGGTGGCCGTGGGGACATTACCCAAGTGATGGCCCTGGGGGTGGCCGTGGGGACATTACTCAAGCAACGGCCCCAGGGCTGGCCATGGGGACATTACCCAAACGATGACCCCAGGGGTGGCCTTGGGCCAAGGGAGGGACATTAACCATGGGCCAGAAGCTCAACCTGCCCCCCAGGGTCTCCTCACCTGTGTGACCCAGGAACAGCATTTCCCAGTCCTGGGGAGACATGACCATACTGGAGAGAGTCCATGAATGGTTATGAAGGGACTGGAGCACTTGGTTGGTGCTGTACTCAAGGTTTGGGCTTCCATGATCATGGATTCACTTCTGCGAAGGTCTGTTGGGAGTTGGTGGGATTCACCTGACCAGCTGGAACAACTGGGTCATCACCAGTAAGGTGGCCAGATGCCTCAGGGAGCTTTAAACCGGACAAGGGGAAGGGCCACCAATATGATGACTGGGACTGGAGAAGGCTGAGGGTGCTGGAATGGAAAGACACTGTGGGGCCTCGTGAATTCCATAAATACCTGTAGAGAGGGTGTGGAGACGATGGAGGTTTAGGCACGTATCTCCTTCTCCAGGAAGAGGGACAGAAGAAGATCAACATGCAGGTCAAATTCTTGAGGGCATTGAGGTATCCTGTGAGCAGTGGAGGGCAGTTGTGGTCTTTCAAGCCCTTGGTCTCCAGCTCTTCCACTGCTCTGGAGGCACCCAGAGCCCCACGGTGGCCCTGGAGAAGATCTGGTTGCATCTGTGACATTGTCCCTGGTGTCCACCCCACCTGTTTTGGGAACAACATGAAGCCAAGCTGGATCCTTTCATGTTTAATCATGGACAAGGCTGGTCAGTCTCACCTCTGTGCTGGGCAAGATCATGGAGCAGATCCTCCTGGAATCCATGCTAAGGTACATGGAAAATAAGGAGGTGGTTGGTGACAGCCAGCATGGCTTCACTGAGGGCAAATCAAGCCTGACAACTTTGGTGTCTTTCACGACAGGGTTACAGCAGTGGTGGAGGGGGAAGAGCAACTGATGTCACCCACCTGGACTTGTGCGAAGCATTTGACACTGTCCTGCACAACCCCCTGGTTTCCAAACTGGAGAGATATGGATATGAGGGATGGCCTACTCAGTGAATAAGGAATGGGTTGGATGGTCACACTCAAAAGGTCGCAGTCAACAGCTCGATGGAAGAGTGGAGGCTGGTGACAAGGGGCATCCTCAAGGGAAGGGGATGGGACCGGTGCTGTTTGATATCTTTGTCAGTAACAGGACAGTGGGACCAATCATACTGGGAGTGACTGGAACTGTCTAAGACAATAGAAGGAGTGACTGGGATCAGACTGGAATCGTACTGGGGGTGAGTGGAACTTACATGAACCTTAGTGGGAGTGACTGGAACTGCCTGAGACCATAGAGGAAGAGACTGGGATCACATTGGGAGTGGCTGGGATCATAATGGAATCATTCTGGGAGTGACAGGAACTGACTGGGATCATACTGGGGGTGATTGATACCATATCGGGATGAATGAAGCAACTTTGACCAAGCTGGGGGTGATTGTCATAATACTGGGAGTAACCAGGAGTGACTACAATTCTACTGGGAGTAGCTGGAAGTGACTGGGATCATGCTGGAAGTGACTGGGATCATACTGGAAGTGACTGGAAAAATACCCAAACCTCACTGGGGGTGACTGGGAGCAACTTAGACTAAGGTGGGGGGAATTGGGATCCTACTAGAAGTGACTGGAAGCAACTGGGTTCATATCGGGAGTGTCTGCAACCACACTGGGGGCAAATGGCATCATATTACAGGTGACTGGGACTATACTGGGAGTGACTGCAACTGACTGAGACCATAGCGGAAGTGACTGGAATCATACCGGAGATTATTAAAACCATACTGGGAGTGACTGGGAGCAATTAGGACCACACAGGGAGCAACTGTGATCTGATTGGGAGTGAGTGGGAGCGACTGGGAGTGACTGGAATCATACTGAGATTATTCTAGGAGTGATGGAGAACATACTGGGGTCATACGGGTAGTGATTGAAACTGAATGTGACCCTAGTGGGACTGCCTGAGATTATATTGAGGGTGACTGGAAGCAAGCAGGACTATGCTGGGGGTGACTGGGATCATACTGGGAGTGACTGGGAGAGAGTAGGATCAAACTGTGAGCAACTGGTACCGTGCTGGGGGCAACTGGGATCATACTGATACTGACTGAGACTGAGTGGGATCATACTGGAATCATACTGAGAGTGACTGAAACCATACTGGGAGTGACTGGAATTGGCTGGGCTCCTACTGGGAGTGACCGGAAGCGACCTGGTTCATACTGAGAGTGACTGGAACCACACTAGGAGCAACAGGAACCACACTGGGGGCATCTGAGATTATACTGGGAATGACTAGGAGTGACAGACATCATATTGGGATTGTACTAGGAGACACTGGAACCGAATGGACCACAGTGGGATTGACTGGAATCATACTGGAAGAAACTGGAACCATACTGGGGGTAACTTGGAGGAACCAGGACCATGCTAGGGGTCACTGGGATCATACTGGGAGTGACTGAGAGTGACTGGGTTCATACAAGGATCATAGTAGGAGTGACTGGGAGCATGCTGAGGGCAACTGGGATGATGTTAAGTACAGCTGGGATACACTGGGAGAAGCAGATCATCATGGAGATAACTGGGATCATACTGGGAGCAACTAGGACCACTGAGAGTGACTGGGAGTGACTGGGAGCATGCTGGGGACAACTGGGATCAAACTGGATGTGACTGGGAACATATTGCGAATGACTGGAAACATACTGCGAGTGACTAGAAGTGAGTGGAACCCTACCGGGGGTGACTGGGAGCAAATTGGACCAAGCTGGGGGCAGTTGGTATTCTACTAGAAGTGACTGGAAGCGACTGGGTTTATGCCAGGAGTGTCTGGAACCACACTGGGGGCAAATGGGACCATACTGGGAGTGACTGGAACTGACACCATAGTGGGAATGACTGGAATCATACTAGGGATGACTGGAACTATACTGGGGGTGAATGAGAGCAACTTGGCCCAAGCTGGGGGGCAATTGGCATAATAATAGGAGTGCCTGCAAGTGACTGGGATCAGATCTCCCTGAACCCCACATTCCAGCCAACCCGGGTCTCCCCACCCCCTGACCCCCTTTTCCTCAATGTTGGGACCCCTGGACCACCCTTTCCTGGGCACTGGGACCCCTTGGACTCCACATCCCTTGTCTCTCCATCCCCAGCCCCCCTTTCCTTGACCCTGTGACTCCCCTGAATCTCCTTCAAGCTCTCCCAGCTCTTCCAGTTCTCCCTTTTCTTCACCCTTGGCCCCCCTCAGACTCCTCCAAGCTTCCGTGTCCCCATAGTTCTCAATTCTCGGCGCTTCCTGCACTCCGCACTGTTGGAGCCCAGGCTGCGGGTCTCCCAGTACATATCCATGGATGGTTCCAGGGAGTTCCAGGGAGATCCCAGTGTGTTCCCAGGAGGATACAGGGGAATCACCCAAAATTTCCTGTGTCACCATCATACTCCCCCTCCAGCACTCCCATGCCATCCCATCCCCTCCTATCCCATCCCCCCCCCCACCGCACTGCTTTAGACCCCTGCAACGGAATTCCTAGGCACAGGGGCCCCCCTGAACTTCCATTTCCAGGCACAGGGATCCCCCTGCACCATATTACCTGGCATTGGGACCCCCCTGAACTTTCTAATCCAGCACAGACACACCCCAGACCTCCATTCTTGGGCATGGGGACCTGAACCTGCATTTCTGGACCCCCTTTTCCAGCATTGGGACTCCCTGAACTCACATTTCTGGGCACCTAGACACCCCTGAACCCCTTTCCCTGGTGCCAGGACTGCCCCTGCACCCCCTTATCAGACACCAGGACCCTTCTGCACCCTCTTATCCTGCACGAATATCCCTCTGCACCCATCCTTTCTCTCCCAGCCCTTGGATGGCCCTTTTCCATGAAGCTGGATTCCCCCTGGAACCTCATTCCTGCCTTTCCCAGTCCCCAGATCCCTCTTTCCTCAAAACTGAGAACCCCTGCAACCCCCCCTTCCCAGCCGTCCCAGGTCTCCCACCCTGTGACCCCCATTTACTTGACATTGGGGAGTTTAGAGAGTGTCCTGGAAAATTTAAATGCTTTTCCTAATGTACAGTGCTATCAGTCAGAGCTGTTGAACCTCTAGAGTGGGAATATAAAAGTCAAGCTGTTGAGTTTTTCATCCTGGATACTCCTAGTGTTTGAGCAGTTAGTGGTGGGCTTCGTTTTGGATCCTGACTCTGAGACTGAAGGATTATGATGATATGGAGAACTGAGAAGGAAAGTGCAGTTCAGTGGGTGCAGTGGAAGATGGAATCAGCAACAGCTTTCTCACCTGGCCCTTTTGTGGGCCAGAAGTTTTCAATTGTGTAGCTGGATTCTGTGAGAGTGACAGAATTTATTGGTACATATAATTGGGAAGGAGTTCGTGTTGTCTCTCAAGTACGGTGTAAATAGGAGTTTGCACATGAAAGGGGAAGGTCAGCCAAACCTTTCTTTGAGGGTAGTGATGTTTTCAACTTGGATTTGCTCTTTGGCTGCTTTAGCTGGTTCAGTCCTGGGACCTTGCCAGTATCAGAGCTGAGG